CAATATGCCAACAAATTGGATAACCTAGGAGAAAGGGATAAACTCTTAAAATCATACAACTTCCCAAAACTGAATCAAGAAGAAATAGAAAATCTGAGTAGACCAATCACAAGTAAAGAGAGTAAAACAGTAATCTTAAAAAACTTCACAAAAAATGAAAGTCCAGGGGCTGACCCCGTGGCCGAGTGGTTAAGTTTGCGCGCTCTGCTGCAGGCGGCCCAGTGTTTCGTTGGTTCGAATCCTGGGCACGGACATGGCACTGCTCATCAAACCATGCTGAGGCAGCGTCCCACATGCCACAACTAGAAGGACCCACAACGAAGAATATACAACTACGTACTGGGGGGCTTTGGGGAGAAAAAGGAAAAAAATTAAAATCTTTAAATAAAAAAAAAAAAAAATGAAAGTCCAGGACCAGATGGCTTCTCGGGTGAATTCTACCAAACATTCAAAGAAAGTTTAATACCTATCCTTTTCAAACTCTTCAAGAATTTTGAAAAGGACAGGATGCTTCTTAACTCATTTTACAAGGCCACCATTACCCTGATACCAAAAACACAAGGAGAACACAAAGAAGTAGAATTAGAGACTAGTATCACTGATGAACATAGATGCAAAAATCCTCAACAAAATATTAGCAAATTGAATATAATACATTAAAACGATCATACACCATGATCAAGTGAGATTTATTCCAGGGATGCAGGGATGGTTCAACATCCACAAATCAATCAAGGTAAACACCACATTAACAAAATGAAGAAGAAGAATCACATGATCCTCTCAATAGATGCAGAGAAAGCATTGGACAAGATCCAACATCCATTTCTGGTAAAAACTGCCAATAAAATGAATATAGGAGGAAAGTACCTCAGCATAATAAAGGCCATATGTGAGAAACCCACAGCCAACATCTTACTCAACTTTGAAAAACTGAAAGTTATTCCCCTAGGAACAGGAACCAGACGAGGATGCCTACTCTCACTGCTTTTATTCAGCATAGTATTGGAAGTCCTAGCCAGAGCAATTAGGCAAGAAAAAGAAAGAAAAGGGATCCAAATTGGAAGGGAAGACGTAAAACTGTCACTATTGGGGGATGACATGATTCTATATATAGAAACCTTAAAGAATCCACAAAAACCCTGTTAATGAGCAAATGCAGTAAAGTAGCAGAGTACAAAATCAACAAACAAAAATCAGTAGCATTTCTATATACTGACAATGAACTAGCAGAAAGAGAAATCAAGATTACAATCCCATTTACAGCTGCAACAACAACAACAGAATCTAGGAATAAATTTTTTTTTTTAAAGATTGCACCTGCTAACATCTGTTGCCGATCCTTTTTTTTCCCTCCTTTTCCCAAAAACCCCCAGTACATAGTTGTAAATTCTAGTTGTGAGTGCCTCTGGTTGTGCTGTGTGGGTCACCACCCCAGCATGGCTTGGCAAGCAGTACCATGTCCGCACCCACGATCCCAACCAGCAAAACCCTGGGCCGCCGAAGCGAAGCACGTGAACTCAGCCACGGGGCTGGCCCCTCTAGGAATAAATTTAACCAAGGAGGTGAACAACTTGTACGCTGAAAACTGTTAAGACGCTGAAAGAAATTGAAGAAGACACAAAGAAATGGAAAGCCATTCCATGCTCATGGATTGAAAGAAGTAACATAGATGAGATGTCTATTATCTAAAGCAATGTACAGGTTCAGTGAAATCTCTATCAGAATCCCAACAACATTTTTCATGGAAATAGAACAAAGAATCCTAAAATTTATATGGAACAACAAAAGATCCTGAATAGCCAAAGCAATCCTGAGAAAAAAGAACAAAGCTGGAGGTATCACACTCCCTGATTTCAAAATATACTACAAAGCTATGGTAATCAAAACAGCATGGTACTGGCAGAAAAACACACAGATCAATGGAACAGAATTAAGAGTCCAGAAATAAACCTGCACGTCTATGGACAGCTAATTTTGGACAAAGCAGCCAAGAGCATACAATGGAGAAAGGAAAGTCTCTTCAATAAACGGTGTTGGGAAAACTGGACAGCCACATGCAAAAGAATGAAAATAGACCATTATCTTACACCATACACAAAAATTAACTTCAAATGGATTAAAGACTTAAAGGTAAGACCTGAAACCATGAAACTCCTGGAAGAAAACATAGACAGTACGCTCTTTGACGTTGGTCTTAGCAGTACCTTCTTGAATATCATGTCTCCTCAGGCAAGGGAAACAAAAGAAAAAATAGACAAATGGGTCTGCATCAAACTAAAAAGCTGCTGCATGGCAAAGGAAACCATGAACAAAACAAAAAGACAACCTACCAATTGGGAGAAAATATTTTCAAATTGTGTATTCGATAAGATATTAATATAATATCCAAAATATATAAAGAACTCATACAACTGATCAAAAAATAGGCAGAGGATATGAACAGACTTTTTCCAAAGAAGGTATACAGATGGCCAACAGGCACGTGAAAAGATATTCAGCATCACTAATTATCAGGGAAATGCAAATCAAAGCTACACTGAGATGTTATGTCACGCCCGTTAGAATGGCTGTTATTAAAAAGACAAAAAAATAACGAATGTTGGAGAGACTGGAGAAAAGGGAGCCCTCATATACTGCTGGTAGGAATATAAATTGGTGCAGAGACTATGAAGATCAGTATGGAGGTTCTTCAAAAATTAAAAATAGAAATACCATGTGATCCAGCTATTCCACTTCTGGGAATCTATACAAAGAACACGAAAACACTAATTTGAAAAGATATGTGCAACCCTATGTTTATTGCAGCATTATTCACAATAGCCAAGACTTAGAAGCAACCTAAGTGTCCATCAATGGATGAATGGACAAAGATGTGGTATATATATACAACGTACTACTATTCATCCATAAGAAAGATGAAATCTTGCCATTTGCAACAACATGGATGGACTTGAGAGAGTATTATGCTAAGGGAGGAAGGAAGATGGAGAAAGACAGTTACCCTATGCCTTCACTCATAGGCGGAAGATAAACACACACATAGATACGGAGAACAGATTGGTGGTTACCAGGGGGAAAGGGGCAGTGGGAGGTTGAAAGGGGTAAAGGAGCACAGGTGTGTGGTGACAGAGGCAACTAGACTTTTGGTGGTGAACATGATGCAGTCTATACAGAAATCGATAGAAATGATGTACACCTGAAATTTACATGTTGTAAGCCCCCGTAACCTCAATTTTAAAAAGCTAAGTCAAATGGATCAAAGACCAGTGAGGACTCAAAGCTATAAAACGACTTGAAGAAAACATGGGAGGAAATTTTTTCTACCTTGGATTAAGTAACGATTTCTTAGATATGACACCAAAAGCACAGTCTTTTAGAGCAAATGCATAAGTTGAACTGCTCTTCAAAAGATGCCACAAAGAGAATTCAAAGACAAACCACACACTGGGAGAAAATACTTGCAAAATATATATCTGATGAAGGATTTATACCCAGAATATATAATGAACTCTCAAAACTCAACAAGAACAACAAAAAACAAAAACAGGCAGAAGATTTGTACAGACACTTCACTATGGAAGGTATACAGGTGGCAAATATATGAAAAGGTGCTCAGTATCATTAGTCACTGGGGAAATGCAAATGAAAGCCACAGTGAGGTATCACCACAAACCTTAGAGTGACTGAAATTAGAAAGACTAAATATACCAAGTGTAGGCAAGGATACAGAGGAACTGGAGCTCTCATACGCTGCCAGTGGGGTGTACAGCTAGTTTGGAAAACAATTCGTTGGCTTTTAAAAGTTAAGCACACACCTACTGGGTGATATAGCCATACTACTTTGCATCCCACACCTAAGGGTTTACCAGAGCAAAATGAAAGCATATACAAAGACTTGTGCACGAGTGTTCATAGCAGCTTTACTGTAGTAGTCCAAAACTGGAAACAAACCAAATGTTTATCCACGGAAGAATGGAAAAACAAATGTGCAGCATATCCATGCGGTGGAATACTACTCAGCAATAAGAGAGAATTAAGTACTAATACATGTAACGACTTAGTTGAATCTCAGAATAATTATGTTGAATAAACATAAGTGGATAGAGTACATATTGTATGATTCCACTTATATAAAATTCTAGAAAATGCCAAGTAATCTATATTAACATAACAGATTAGTGGCTGCCTAGGGATAAAGGGGGTCCTCAATAATTTTGTAAAGTGTAAAGGGTTTCTGAGACAGGATGTTTGAGAACCTCCCCCCATGGTCAGATGGCCCTTAGACGGGCTAGTCACGCAGCGCTCTAGCATGACACTGCAAGTGCTACCCTTCCTTCTGCGGTGGGGAGCAGCCACTGAGAGGGCTGGGTGTGTGTTTGGGGAGATAGCCCTGGCGGCATTGTAGGGGGTCCCAGCGAGGGCAAGTGTAGAAGCAGGACTGGTTAGCAGGATGATACGTTTGGCCTTGACCGAGGGTCTGGGTAGTGGGAGGCGGACTCGATAGAGTTGATAGGACGTGTCTCTGGTCAGAGGGAAGGGAGAGACCTGCCTTGTGTCTGGGGCCAGGCAGCGGTCACTGTCTGAGAGAGAGAATCCTGGAGGAAGGCAGGTTTGGGGCAGGAAGGGAGGGCTGGACTTTCCACTTTCTGAAGGACATATTCTAATGAGCAGAAGCTTTTAATTTTAATAAAGTCTAATTTATCAATTTTGTTCTTTAAAAAAATATCCTCTTCCCATCTCTCATGTTAATTATATTTTTTAAAAGATTCTATTTGAAGGGGGTGGGGGAGAGGGCAAAAGGGATAAAGGGGCACATATGTATGGTGACAGATGAAAACTAGACTATTAGTGGTGAGCACAATGCAGTCCATATAGAAACTGATGTAATAAGGTACACCCCAAATTAGACAATGTTATAAGCCCATATGACCCCAGTAAAATAAATAAATGAGAATTCTATTTTATTTACTTAGACTTTTTTGTCCCTTCTGCTCTAGATATCCTTGACCCTGCGATCCTGCGCCCAGGCCGGCTGGATAAGACACTCTTTGTGGGTCTGCCGCCCCCAGCAGATCGCCTCGCCATCTTAAAAACGATCACAAAAGTGAGTTAAAGGAAATGGTATATTTTTGTGTTATGTTTCTCTCGTTTTAAAAACAGACAAGTAGTAATTTAGGATGCCTAGTCCCTTTCTTTTCTGTAGCTGTAAATATTTGCCCAGCCTGCATATCTCCGAAAGGAGAAGGTGAGCTGTTTTTGGTCATTGAAGAGGCCATCCGCTCTTTTTTATTTGCTTAAAATAAAAGGGATGGTTAGAGTTACATGCTCAACTGATGTGCTGGAGATGTCACTCTAATCACACTTTGTTTTTTTGATCTTTGTTACTTTAGAGGAATTGTCTTCAGAGCATATTTGAAATAGAACAGAAACTTTTGGAGATGGAAAGTAAATAGATACAGGCCCATTATAAATATCCAGAGAAAAATTGAATTTTAAAACCACAATTTTTAATTCTTTCCTCCATGTTGGTGTATGCCAACTTTTAAGATGCCTGTACAGTATTGACTTTGCTATTTTTATAAAAACAAGTAGTGCATACAAAATACAAAGAAGAAAACAAATCACCCTAAATTGTACTACCACAGAATAATCTGCATTAGCACTTAGCACAGGCATCTTTCCAAACTTCTTTATGCAGCGTGGGTGGTGGATGGGTGGGTGCTTGAGTGAATGAGGAGGAGGAAGAGGAATGAACTTAACACTATTTAAATAAAGTTAAATTTATTTGAAATTTAAAAGAGAACAAAGCTAAAGGAATTATTAAACTTCCAGTAAATGTTTCTTTTCCATAAAAGATATTCTTTCCCTAAAGAATCACTCTAAGGATTGAAACTTTTAAAAAAAGATTAATAAAGTTACTAAGCAGCTAAGTCATTCTTTTTTTCAAGTACACTTTTTTTGTGTGTATGTGTGCTTTTTCTCCCCGAATCCCCCCAGTAAATAGTTGTATATCTTAGTTGTGGGTCCTTCTAGTTGTGGCATGTGGGACGCTGCCTCAACGTGGCCTGACAAATCGTGCCATGTCCGCGCCCGGGATCCGAACCAACGAAACCCTGGGCCTCCGAAGCAGAGCGCAGGGACTTAACCACTCGGCCATGGGGCCAGCCCCTCAAGTACATTTTTCATTGTAGATGGCGTTGGTTTAATTTCCTCTCTGAAGTTTCGATCATTAGGATCTCTTTCTTTCCTTCCTTCCACTTCTCAGTTGTTTTCTATAGGTTTTTTCTTGTCCAGTGTCTTCACGTTTTCATTCTGTTCTAGAGTCACATTCTTAGTTTCATGTTTAAATAGATACAGTACTCACAACCAGCACTTTGCCCACGGCTTTTATATGTTTTCTGGTCTATTGTGTTTTGTCTTTTGGTTGACTATATTTCATGAGGTTTGTTCTACTTATTAATAGTTTGTTTATTCAGCTCTATTCCCTGGGTTCTTTTCGTGATTAAGAATGTCTGCCTGTCGTCTTTAGACTTGAATGGCGTATTAGCCAGGAATGATTTTTCCTTGGTCGCACAGTCTTTCTTTCTGGTCTTTGTAGAAATTACAGCATCCTTTTTGGACATTGAGTATGTCTGTAAAGATGTCTGAGGCTAGTCTGATTGTTGTTTTCCCCTTGCTAGGTGACTGACTTTCTCTGCTTGGATCTCTGAAAAATCCTTTATCTTTGAAGTTTAATAACTGAACTAAGATATGTCACTGTCTGTTACCTTTTTTGTTATTGCTGGTGGTGGTGATAGTGTGGGTTTATTTTGAGTGGAGAGGAACTAAAATCTGGTGTAGCTTTTTATTCTGTGGATGCAATTCTGCCTTCATTCCAGGGAAAATTTTCTGTGTTGTATGTCTGAAGACTTTCTCTGATTCATTTATTGGATGCACTTCTCCAACGTCACCAATTATTCTTACATTAAATCTCCTGTGTCTTCCGTATCTTTTGTCTAATTGCTTTAGTTTTTGTATTTTGTCTTTAATTTTTGCATTCACTGTGATTAACTTAGTCTTCTTTTTCTTTTTCCTTTTCTCCTTCCTCCCTCCCTCCCTCCCTTCCCATTGCGTGGCTTCTTTCTCTTCATCTGGATGGTTACTCCAACCCCACCTCCTCTTGATCCTAATATAGAGTGGATGCATTCTCCACCTGGACCCATCTTCCTACCCCTTACCCATTAGAATTTGACAGTCTGCTTAATTGCTTTTTATCTACATTTTTACAGCCTAGGGGTAGGAAAGGGAGCTAAACTGGTAGTAAGTAACCCTCATGGGGAAGCCTGAGCTTATTCTCTTCTCAAAGATGCCCTATGAAGTGTCTTATACCTGGACCTGCTCTGTCTGTACAGAGCATATCTCATTGGTATGGGGTTGTGCCCCCAGTGCTGCACAGCCCCTGGAGACTGGCGTATCTTGGCAGTTCTTCCTGATGCTGCCGAAATCCCTTGATGGTATGTCTGAGGGTTTGTCTTTAACTTTTCCTGGGGATATCTTGTCCTCAGGCTGCTTCTCTCCAGAGTGGAGTATTAATGGATGTTCACAAGATTTGTCAACTTCTTTCCTCAATGCTGCTTCCCAGGAATGGGGGCCTAATTGCTAGCCACTCCAGAATTTTCTCTTTCTTTGGCACCCACTTTTCAACATTTACAACATGAACATTTACCCCTTTCTTTATTGGTTGCCACTAGTAAATTTTTAAACTTTGCCCTTTTTTTAGTATTTTCTTTCTATGTTGGCAAAGGAAGATTTTGTGGTCCTACATCACTGGGCCATCATTACTTAAAACTACATATAGCAGTGTTCATAACTATCTCCCAAAGGAGGGAGAACAGAAGGAGGGTGATCAGCTTTTTGGGTTAAAAAGACGCCACTGGCCGGCCCCATGGCCATGTGGTCGAGTTCGCATGCTCTGCATCGGCGGCCCAGGGTTTTGTCGGTTCAGATCCTGGGCACGGACATGGTACCACTCATCAGGCCATGCTGAGGCGGCATCCCACATGCCACAACTAGAAGGACCCACAACTAAAATATACAACTATGTACTGGGGGGGCCTTGGGGAGATGAAGAAGAAAAAAAAAGCATTTAATTAAAAAAAAACAAGACCCCACTGACAGCAGTATGGAAGTTAGCTCGGAGGAAGGTGAAACTAAAGGCTGTAAAGGTAAGCATGCTGGAACTAAGGCAGTATCAGGGGACTAGCAAAGAGGACATACATATGAGAACTGTTTAAAGGTACTAATTAACAGGGCGTTGGATTAACTGTAGAGTTGAGGGGTAAAGAAAAAGGAAGATGAATTCTCAGCTTGGACAGCTGAATATCCTCCAAGATACGGTTTTGGGAATGAGGAGGTGGTATTATTCGAGTTTCAAGTGCCTGGGCGTTATCCAGGCAGAGATGGCCAGCAGGAGGTAGGTTCTGTGGTGGAGAGTTCAGGAGAGTCCTCTGGCTCGGTTATAGTTTTGCCTGCCATCAGCACATAGCTGGTGGTCAAAGCCGTGAAAACACATTGCTTTAGTTCAGTGGCTCTCAACCTAGGGCCATTTTACCAACAACAGCCTACCCCACCCCTAACCCGCAGGCAGTGTCTGCGGACAGTTGTTTATCACCAGGCAGGGGAGTGATGGTGTTACTAAACATCCTGCATTGCACAAAATAGCCCCGCCACAAAGAGTTACCTGACCCCGTGTATCAATAATGCCAGAGTTAGGAAACCCTGCCATAGTTGTGTAGACTTGTTTCTTTGTACCAAGCATTTCTTTCCCTCTCGTCGGCTCTGTCATGAGGAACTATGAGAGTGAGATTTTGTTTGCTTTGGTTAATGTATGTGTGTACGTAGGTATACACAACACAGGCACATACGCGTGCATACAATCCTAGTTTGTTTCTTTAAATTTCTTGTAGTTATGATGACATAATGATAATGCTTCTACACTTGCCCCTGGGATGTCCCTAATTAAAGGCAGAGATCGGAGTGATTCTCGTTTCTAGACATGCCTGACATGAGGTGTGTGGAGTTCAGGGCCTTAGAGATTCAGACCCGGAAGATTGGTTGGCTCATTCTTCCAGACATGTTTCATCCACTCCATAGTACTCAACACTGTGGAACCACTTTATGTCTTCCCTTCATCTGCAATTTTAGTGCTGTTTGCCGACATTCCTAGCCCTCAGACTCAGGGGTAAATGCTCAAAGTACCCCACTTCAAAGATAAAATTATTAAGAAAATAAGGTAGTAGAATATTAACCTAAAGGAATGATCTTTTGCACAGTCAACTAGTACTTATTGTAAACTAAATATGTCCCTGGTTGTGCATATCCTGTGGGGAAACGAAGAAACATCAGACATGACCTTTCCATACGGAACTTGTCTTCCAGATGAGAAGATAATACAATGTTTATAAAACAACAGCCAGCATGTTCACTGATTTCTGAGAAGGGGAGAAAAATGAAGACAACTGAATAGGCTGGAGACTTCAACTATGTAAAGAAATATAGAGAAAAAAGTCAAGAAGAAAATATACTCAAATATTAACAGTGCTTGCCTCTAGGAGATGGAATTACAGGTTATCTTTTCTGTTCCGTCAGTGCCCTCCAGCCGGGAACACGCCTGTAGTTGAACAGGTCGGGCTTGTTGCCGTCTGCAGCGATGGGGTGGGAGGTCTGCGGCCGCTCGGGAAGAGGATGCCGGAAGGACTCCAGCGATGTGTGTTCGTGGTAGAGTTGGAAAGAGTTTAGGGGGCTTTGCTCTGATCGCTTTCAAAAAGCAGGTGTAATTTTGTGATTGAAAGCTTCATAAATTTTATCCAGAAGGAAGGAAAGCTAGAGCAAGGCTCGAGCTGTGATTGGGAGAAGCAGCAGTCACTCGCTCACGTCAACCCAGATGGGGATGTGTCGGCATTTCTGTGGCTTAGACAGTGGTCATGTTTTGTCTGTGTTCGGACGTGAGTCTGCGGCGGGCGGTCTTGTTTTTGTGTTGGTCATCTGGTCACAGGGTGGCCTTGTCTGATCTCGATGTTCTGTGAACTGTTGATGCCAGCAGGAGAACACCCGCCCAGCTGGGAG